TACAAATTATACTAAGTATGACCGGTCATACATTCTTGATTGAAGTACGACCGGTTATTCTTAATGTAGTTTGTAAACAAAAAGTTTGTAAATATAACTTTTCTCTTACTAAATAAGTTAAGTCAATATGTTTCTAAAAACCTGCTTGCTAAAACGTTTAGGCTTTAGTTTATGCAAAATGCCTTTTAATTGTTACATATTGACCTATTTAAGTATATTTAAATATTATTATTATTATTATTATCGTATTAGATTTTCACCATAATGTCTTGAAATTACATATTGGTTGGCCTATTTATATACTTTGACGGTTTGACCCATTGACTTACACAAAAATATAGGCTCCTTATCTTATTTAGAGATAGGTTGGTTGGCTCATTTAAAGATTTTATTACAAAGTAAGCCTTTAAATAAGATTTTAGGCTTGACAAGTAATTATGTTTCCCTCAAGTTTTGGTTGTGTATGATAAAATTCTCAAAAATATTTTTTATTTTATTTTAGTTTAGAGAATATAAATGATTTGAAATAGTATTTGATAAAATGGATTTTTTTTCCTGCTTTTTTGCAGAAAATGAATTGATAGTTCAAGAATACAAACTGACAGAAATAAGAAACATTTGCTTACCAAAAAAAGGAAAAAAGAAATAAGAAACATTTTTTTTCCTAGAATATCATTTATTAAATGCACATGTCATATAATATATTATTCTGATTAAATACACTATTTATAAAATACAAACTAATTTTAATGAGAATAGAAATAAATTGTGTTATCAAATATTGTTCGGCCAGAAATTCTTCCTAAGCACGAAATTTTTTTATTGCTTTTAAAAAAATAGAGTTAGAGAATAGAATGTGCGCAATTTAGCAAAAAAATAAGAATTTTTAAATTACTGAATTTAAAATAAGTGAATTTAACTTTATAATTTGTTGCATATATATATCAAAAAAATATTTCTGCAGTTAGTTATCTGCATTTATTCTCAAAACGACGTCATTTTGAGATTGAAATATTAAAAAATTATAATTATAAAGACTATAATAACCCTGAAATAAATTAATATTACAAAAACACCATGATTTCCGCCCCAAAACAACATCGTATTGGACTTACTGCAAATAACTTATCTGTAGTAACTGCAGAAAAAGCGAACCCTATATATATTCATTGATACTAACTACTGATTTTTTTATTAAACAAGTATAACTTTTTTTTTTTTTTCTAAAACAAATCCCACAAATTAGAATAAAAAAGTAGCTAATAAAGAGTAGAATAATGAACAAATGGATCATATAGCCTATCTTTTTAAAGAAGAGGCTTATATGGAAAGACATGCATCTCCGAAGGGTGCTGATGCGAGCAAGTATCTAATTTTTGGCTTTTTTTAATTGGGACAACCATATAGACTCGTATATACGTGTGTTCCAGAAGCTCTCCATAATTGTGAAACCAAAGGTGACGTGGGATTTGTTTGATCTTACTGCATCAAAGATTAATGTTGGAAATGATGTGCCTATGGAGGAAGGCAACTATAGGTAGCGGCAGATCATTGTATATATTATGAGAGGTAAAGAGACAAATGAGTGATGTATATGGACAGTAACATACAAACGAGAATTAGGGTTCTAGAGATATATACGTATGAAGTTTAACCTTTTATTTATGAGCTGGACCTATTTTGTATAACTAGAAGGGACCATTATATGAGTCCAGAGTATGATTAAAGAAGTAACGTTTTGAAAGTTCGTCATTTTGTGACAAACGATATGTTCTCCGAATAACTTTATAACAACAAAAAAAAAAAAAGGCATGCAAAATCCCAAAAAGTAATGGCTAAAGCTGATGTGGCTTATCAACAAACCTCAACTTGGAAATTTTGTTTTGGATATATTGGGAATCAAAATTGTCTGAGGTGGGCAGTAAATGTGGGTAGAAACAGGTTTTGATGCTCAATCAGTGTCAACGTCACTAAACTGATCAATTAATATTCGTTGTTCTTTCCGTGCGTATTTGATACAAGTACGTATATTGGTTACTTCATTAACATAAACTTCTAGAGAAGAATATTAATTACCATACAAATTCCACAATGATTTGAGGGAAAATTTCAAGTTACGGAGCTTGATGGGAAGGAGTTATCACCCATTATTATTAGCGTCTATGGATTGCTCGTAATGAAAATTTATATATTACTTTGAATTTTTGTGGGAGAATTTATATGAAGTCACAAACTAATTGACGAAAGATACCAAATTAAGAAGAGTGTCTTAGGTGGTCCGAGGGGGTTTAAAAGGAATTCGAGAGAAAATGACTGAGGGAAGACCCCGGAAAAATCGTTGTCATGAGAAGGAAAAATAGAATTTTGGTCTGTGAATGTCTGCATATCATAGGTCCGTGTGGCACGAGGAGGAGGTAGCAAATTGAAGCAAAGTCACGACCATGATATGATGTTAGGTTAAAGAGCATGTGTGCCATAAAGGACTACAACTTTGATTTGGCTGGGTCGGATAGGGTGTTGGAATCTAGCTGTACTTTTATTTGCTTTTTTAAGTTGATTAATGTTATGGAAGTTAAATGTGATACTTAAATCTATTGGCTTTTTCTATTCAATTGATTTTGATCTTGATTGGGCAAATGATTTTATCCGGGTATTCACACACGTATAATCCTTATGTGTGAGAAGTCGCACAACCTTAATAATTAAGGCCCGGAGGGCTGGAAAACGGTTATGCATTACACTTCCCACGTTAAGAGAGTCTTCTTCATGTTATGAATATTTTGACTTCTCATTTTCATTGCTCCATGCTGAATCACTATTAAAATCTTCACTTGTTTCCCACAATCGAGCTCATATACCTCTCTTGATTTTCAGCTTGCCTGAGACCTTACAGTGACCTCTCTGATCAGTTGTAGTTTATATTGTTATTTTTTTAGTTACTATTTCATTGACCATCTCTATAAGATAAACATCTATTGCTTCGCCCCTCTAACAAGTTCAGCTTTCTTCATGAGTTTGAATCGTAATAATGACAAACTAGATGTAATGCTTAAGCCATACACCTCTTCTATTGAACGGATTAATTTAAGGGTTATGTTTATCTCATTTTACATGAGGTAAACAACTTTTCTACACACACAAAAAGAGGTTGGGTCCTATCACTCTTTTTTCTCTCTCCTCTTAACTGTGGATCTCACTTATACTTTTATTTCTACAACATGAGATAGCTTTTTTCCTACAACATAAGAAAAATATATCCCTTAATTTAATGGGAAAAAGCCTAGAGAAATCAAATCTAAGCATAGGAGAAGACAATTTCAATGGGAGAAAACAGTAATTGGGTAATAATTAATTGATGCTCCAAATGTCTCCCTCTTCTTAGAAGAACCTAAATGCACTACACTATGCATGAGTTTGTTGACTGAGTTTTGAGCTCTGTGCATGGAGATATTGTAGGTTCAAATTCAGTAGATAAGATAAGAGTCTATCAATTTCTCTAAATCTGCTGGGATAGGAGCTTTAGTTTACACTGATCAATTTACTCGATCGGGAAATGCAAATATGACCTCGATCTCTACCAAACATATTCCCTATATATTGGGAAATAATATTGCAAAAGGTTATATTAATTGTTCATATAGTATTTTTATTTTCGCCGTGAACTAATAATAGGCATTTTTCAATACAAAGTCAACATAGGGATTTGGTATGTTGAATTTGGGATGAAGTTTTGAAAAATTATCATCCAAAACCCTCCACACGAATTAAAGTAATATAAATTGAAGGCTGGCGAGTTGAATTGTCAAAATTAATTAGGCAAGCAAAAACCCTTTTTGACCGAAAGTATAAATTAGCATAGATAGTTAGGCAACAAAAACAAAAACAAAAACAAATGTTTGGAAAGCCTCCTCCCATACACTTGTGTGTCCCAATGCAAATTAACAATGTTATTTCCTACCAACGTCGACGACCAGAATTATATGAAAGCAATTCTTTCATCTTTGGTCCCCACCCCCACTATGCACTTCTTAATCCTCCCCCACAAACCATATGAAAACTTTGCAAAAGGCCATATTATTCATCCAAGCCTACTGAGCAACGAGCATCCTCCTTTCTGCTAAATAAAGAAATTTAATCCACGACCATTCAAGTCGAAATTATAATACTCACACACACACCCCTTTTCCTCTCATATTTTTCGTCACCCCTTCATGAAACAATTTTATTGAAGTTAAATATATCCCTCCTTTTCCATGCAACTGGCTAATTAAGGAGCTTGATTTGCTGTGTATAACACATTTCCATTTACTCCTTTACGTAAGATTATTTTTTAATCAGCCCATTATATAGTTGGTAATTAGTAAGCAACTAGTGACTGTCATGCACACTGTATATATGTATATATCTACAAACTCGTAATTTTTTCTACTGTTTTCTAGAAGAACACTTTTTCCACCAAACAAAATAAAGATTCTCTAGTTGTGGGGTTACAATGCTTGACTACGCAAATGAAGATTCTCCCAAATCGATCATGAAGAAATGATGCGCAGTCCAGGTCCCCACTCCTTCCCCGAACACCCTGTTTCAAAAAATGCATCTTTAGCTTATTTGGACTCTTCCTGGCTGGGTACCACCTTAGCTGTATTCACATCCAAACATCCCTCTAGAGTATATATCTCCCATTCTTCCCCGTATATATAAGAGGGATAGATTATTTTATCTATCTTTTTTTTATGCCTACTTGTCTACTAATCTCCAATATCGTTAAAGCATAATCTTAAAAGGAAAGAGAAATGGTAAGGTTAGTTGAGATTCTGATATAATGATGTTGGAAATTGATAGACAAAATATGCATACAATAAAGATGCGTAGAATAATATATCCTGTATAGATACTCGTAACATTGATATAATATAATTCAATTGTGAAACTATCTCATCCTCATTTCACCTATATATATACATTACATACGCTATTCTTCCTTCCCAAGCTCGCATCACACATTTCTAAGCAAGGTCACAAACCCGCCAAAGTCCTAAACACACACTTGTTGTTGTTGTTGTTGTTGTTGTTCTGTTGTCAAGAATGTCAGGGGTGTGGCTTTTCAGGGACGGTGTGGTGAGGAGGGTGGAGAACCCTGGAGCTGAGGATGGAAGCAGCAGGCAAGGGTCGAGTTCAAGGCGCAAGGTGCTGGTTCACACAGCAAGCAATGAGGTCATAACCTCTTATGCGGTACTAGAGCGCAAGCTGAACTCACTTGGGTGGGAACGCTATTATGATGACCCTGAACTGCTTCAGTTCCACAAACGCTCCACCGTGCACCTCATCTCACTCCCAATGGATTTCAACAAGTTAAAGCCCATGCACATGTACGACATAGTGGTCAAGAACAAGAACGTTTTCGAAGTTAAGGACATGTAGGAATCTACCGCCAACAAAACAAACCCCTGCATGCCCTTCCTTCGGGCAGGGCACCCTGCTGCTGTGTTGAGTCTTGAGTGTCACTGTTTGTGTATTACTGATTCAACTCTTACAGAGTAATTTTTTTTTTTTTTTCTCTTTTCATTTAGCTGCATGTGTTGTTTTGATTTTAGATTAGTGGTCATGGGGGGTGGATGATGTTTATATATGTCCAAGTGATTGTGATATTAACTTGTGTGTATTGTTCAGGTGAGATTGTGTTTTTTGCTTAATATTTATATCTATATATAGGTAGGGTCTGATTGGTGAATTTTAACTCAATTTACAATCAAATTTGTGTTTTTCTATTATTGTGTGCTATGTAAGACATTTCACTTGTATGAAATTCATCCTGTTATGGACTACTTAGGTGGTTCCAACTTCTCATCCCCACTACATGAAGCATATCATTCCATCATTTTTCCTTAACTTTCTTTCACTACGTATGACCACTCATTATGTGCATAACTTCTCTAAGTGCTAGTTAGTGCATTTCATCTATAAATAACTCTCTATAGCAAAGAACCACAGGGATTCAGCACCTTTACAACTTATTAATGTTCATCTCCAGAATACATCCCATTTATTTGGATTTCTTTTGTCATATTAATTTGATTTTATCGTTTTGTCTAATATTTTCCTATAGGGAAATCAACCATATATGATGACTTCGGTTTTTGGGCGGTCTACCATCCTAGCCGAGTAGAATCGGTAGATCCTGACTTAACACAACACAAGGGTGGTTAAACGGCTCTTTCACCAGTTTGGGACTCTTCCCATTTAAATGTACGAAATTGGTACGTGGGTGGGAGTAATTACGTTTTGGGGTCAGTAAATGCCGCGGGGGACTGCCATCGTATCTAAATTACGCCCAGAGAGCCCCGCGGCAGTAATGTGAATTTTTTTTTTTTATTTCTCGTTAGACAGTGCCGCCCATCCTCCCCCACGGCACTCAAATACGTTATTTTAATTAAATAAGTGCCGCCCACCCCCCCATACGGCACTAATATAATATTTATATTTTTACTATGTAAGTGCCGCCCATCCCCCGTTACGGCACTTATTTTAATTTTTGCAAACCTAAAATTTGTATCCGTTCTGTGAACAATTGCGAAATAAACGAAACACTTGTAGAACGAGAAGAACGTTTTCCCCAATTTGTGGTCGGCGAGCAGGAGGAGATCGAGAAGAACGTTGTCCCCCAATTTGTCATTGTCGGCGAGCTGTGTGTTGTGGTCGGCGAGCAGGAGGAGATCGAGAAGAACGTTGTCCCCCAATTTGTCCTTGTCGGCGAGCTGTGTGTAGAACAAGAAGAACACTTACAGGTTGATTTCATCATCACAGAGACACCATTGACAAGGTTCTCCTCCGATCTGTTGGTGCCTCTGTACAACTTCGTTCATTCCACCACCGCTCCGCCATCGTTGGTCGGAACCATTGTTCATCGGAGCCACATTCGCCGTCAACCACCAGATCCTCTATCACCTCGGATTTGGGTTTACAAGAAAAGCGTTTTTGACTTCAAAAGCAGAGTAGTGGTCTCTATCACAGATTCACAGGTACGCGTTTTCTTGCTGCTGTTATGCGTTTGAAATGGTTGATTGTATTTTCCAACAAAAAAAAATCCTTGCTTGTTTTGCCCAATTAGCGCATCTGGTATGGTAATAGAGCAGATTTTAAATAAAATGATTGTAACTACTGTATTAATGCTGATTGAAAAGGGGGAAATAAAATAAAAATACACCTGTAGTGAAGGAAATGATTCCTTAAATGAAATGCAGATTATGTGAAAATTGGTATAAAAATGGGGACAATTGCATTGCTGTGGACTGGAGGAATACCATAAAAAGGTCTCAGTTTGTTTGAGAGCATCCCATTTCCCGTGACAGTTGCAAAGATTGTGGAACATGTTTATATTTTTTTGTTGTATCTAATTTTCCTCTTAATATGTGCTGTATTTTTTATTTAATAAGCTTGGTTGGTTGGGATATTAAGCTTGCTGGGATTAATGTGGGGGGTAATTGTTTTTATCTAATGAAACATATGATTGATCTCTGAATAGCATTCTAGCCATCAAACATACTGGTATTTATTTTTAATTATTATTCTAATTATTTGTTCATGTTGATAATCTAAATATAAACTCGAGCCAGATATTGATTAATATATTTTAGAGTATTTTTATATTTAGTTTTTTTAATATTGAGCCAACATAATTTTGGTCATAAAAGATATGTGACATTAATTTAGTCTCAGTAATGAAAGGTGGCATCAAAGTCGTTTTTCTGTGCTCAAATCATAGGAACAAATGGCTAAATTAATGTCATTTTCTATTATAAATTAAAGTCATCTTGCTATGAGTCATGACTGATTCATCTGACTTAGTGCTATACATTTTTGTAACATTAATTCATCTTTTCCTAATTTAAATGCTAAATTGATGCTATTTATCTATAACAAAAATAATTGATTGGTCACTGAAGTTTTCATAAACTAAAACTTTTAATGAATTTAGTAGATGAAAATATTCACAAATAGAATCCTTTTTTGATGGATTTTGAAGCATCTGGTGTGGAAGAAACAAGTAGGCTTCAACATTGTGTTTTTGTAAATTAGTATTTTTACTTAACTTCAAAGATATTTCCAATTTGCATTCTGTTTTAAATAATTTAGTGACTTTTAACATTCACAATTTGCATTCAGTTTTAAATAACAGACCTCACCCACAGTGATGGCATTTGATGATTCATATGAGAGACATCTTCATCCCGGTCCTCGCTTCAATTCGATATTATGCATGCAATCTATACACCGGTCAGAGGTTGTCTGGACGGAGGAAGAGGATTATAAATCTCTAAATGTCAGAAGTGGACGATTGGCAGGGTTGGATGTTATTCCAGAGCCCATTGTTCCTTATTTATGTCGTGCTGGCTTTCTTGGCGCTGCTCGGATGGGTCGTATGTAGGTATTTACATGCTACATGTATTAAATTAAAAAAACTACTAATGTAATATATTAAAAAAAAAACTACTAATGTATTATATTAAAAAAAATACAAAACACCACTGTATTATATTAAAAAAAATTAAAACACCACTATATTCTAAATATTGTGTCAAATATCTAACTCAAATAAGTAAAAATAGTTAAATAATTTTAATTAATAAAACTGACGTTCATTCTTACTTGCTTTACGGTGGTTTTCCTTTGTAAGAAGAGCTTTCAACACTTTGTGCTCTGCAAAACGTTTCCAAGGAGGAGCTGCAAATGGCAAAAAATAGAGATAGTTTAGATCTGGATGTTTACTAAATGAAAGCGAGACAAGAGGTGAAATAAGATAAGGTGGGGCTCAGACAGAAGGGGATGTGCCACTTGGCCTGCTGTGAGAGTTCCACAAAGGGGTTGAGCGGCACTCTAAAAATAGAAATATAAAAAAAAATATAGCAGTTTCGATGGGGGGTTAGGCGGCATTTAAAATATAAAAATACAAAAATAATACAAGTTCCGTTGGGGGGATGTGCGGCACTCATAAAATATTATAAATTGAGTGCCGATGGGGGTGGTAGCGGCACAACATCAGGGGAAAAAAAAAATAACATCATACAAACGTGCCGCGGGGAGGGTGGGGTGTCATTTAGAGTCGATGGGAACCCCCGACGGCACTAAAAGACCCCAAACCGTAATTTCGTTCCACCGAATACCAATTTCGTTATTTTTAATAATATAAACTCCATACCAGTGAAACACCCGTGGTTAAACCCCATCCCATCGTATACTCAAAATAAGATAGGGGTAGATTTGATCCCATCCCACACTCAAATCTAGACAAGAAATTAAGAGCAATGATTTATAAAGCTTTACATGATTCTTTCATAACATATTTTTTCATAAAAGAGATACAAATAAAATATAAGGAACATGTAAATTAACTACACAACCGGATCCTCATTGTGGATAATAAACCATATAAAACATACCTTATACAATGTGCAAATATGCAAGAGGCTCTTACAAGATATGGATTTTTCTATTAAAACACTCTTTTGGAATATGCAAATCTTGTCGACTATTCTCAACAGATAGAAGCAGTGTGCGTTCTCTTGTCATTACACCTCTGATGACTAAACACAGCTTGCAGAGGAGACAAATAAACCTAATTCTTTTTTAGACTCTCCTTATATTAATTAATCCATTTTAAACTTTATTGTAAAATGAGACCAAAAAAAAATTGGAACAATTTGTCACTTTTATATATTCAGGGGATAATTACACACGATTCAGTTTGAGGGTTTATATTTTACATTTTATGGAATAAGCAATGCATGAATATGTCCATTAAACAGTGAAATTTTATTTTTGTATTGTAAAGATTGATCTAATTCATAAGTTATATGCAGAAATTAGTTATTTATACAGAAAAATATTATAAAATAAATAAAAGATGAAAAGGGGGGAGCAATCATTGTGCATGGACGACAAGACATAGATGTGTGGGAAATTAAGAGATCACGTGAGAGAAGATTCGATTATTGACAATTTGACTCTTCTTTTTCATAAAGAGTAAAGATCAACTTTTTCTATAAATCAGACTCGGGGGAGGGGAGTATTTTGCAATTCATTTATTCTCTCTTCTATTTTAATCGTGGTAAGTGCTGTCCAACTCAACCCTAGCTTCTCATACAACTCTATTATAATTAGTCCAAATCTAAGTAATTGATATAACTAAATTTGAGTTTATCAACATGTATTTATCTATGCATCAAATAGTCATTCACAATAAAACTGACCTCTTAGATTTTTTTTTCTCTTTTTTAATAATTTTTTATATCACTAACTATTATTTAATTTGTGCAATAGAAGGGTATATTTAAGTTCAAATAAATATAAAAAAAATTAAATTAAAAATAAATATTGAAGAAAAAAAGTAATTGTAAGAAAGTAATTTAGAAATTTAAATTTAACATTTTAAAAAAGTAAATTAGTTTACCAAAAAAAAAGTAAATTAAAAAAATAATGTCACTTTTTAAGAAAATAGATTAAAAATTTAAGTAATCTTAAGAGAATAATTTTTTATTTAATATACTAATATCTTATTATTATTTATGCTATGTTTTACATTTTAACCGTTGCATTTTTTTTATAATTTTTCGTTATTATCTGTGTTTCGTAATTAAAGGCATTTGTAAATTTTAAATTTGGCGCATAAAATTACTTGCAAATAAGGGAGAGATATCAATGTAATTAAAGAAGAATTTTTCGTGGATAAGGTATCGAATACCTCCATCTAAAATGATTTGACATCATACAACCCCGTTACATTGAGAATATCTTTGATATTACCGTTCTACTGAGTAGTGAATTCTGATTCAAAATAAAATTACAGACTATGTATTTTCAAGAATATATAGATATAATTTTTATTTTATTTTCAGAAAAAATGTCAATTAAGATATTATATGTTTTTATTGGGTGCATGTAAGTATTATGGTAGTATATTAGAAATTTCGCGCTACATCCTATCCTGCAACTAAAGAACCTTGTATTACTTTGGAAATCTTCCATACCCAAAAATATTTCCCTAAAAGTGAGTACCATGCATTGAACCCAAGAACTTCTTAGGCAGAGACATGAATGATTCCGAGCAACAAGTGTCTTTGGTTGGGGAGAAGGAAAAACTTTACTGGCTAAGTGATGGTGGGAATGTGAGTTATCAACGTTTGGTTGGGAATTTTTGTTAAAGTTTGCCATCAATCCCACTTGCCCTGCAATGCAAGAGGAAGTGTAAAAATCAGATTTTAGCATTGTTGGAGATTACCTTTCAACGGGTGGAATTGTGTGAGGAAATCTGATATCTGAAAAAGGTGGATAATGGGGTGACAAATATATTCCTCCTCCATTTTATTGTGGTTCGTATTTTGTAATAAAACAACAGGTTTTTTTAAATAAGGATAGTTTTGTAATTTCAAACAATTTTTCCATCAAATTCTATCTTCAACCAAATATACACTCAGAAAATTTAACCCAATTTTCCCGGTAAACTTTTGCCGAACCAAACAGCTTTTTTTACATTTTCCTACCAAACTCACTTTTCAACCATTTTCCTATCAATTACATTTCTCTAGTATTCAAAAAATTTCTCCCAAACCAAACACTAAAGTTGGAATTGGATAACAAGGATCTCCAATGCTTGTGCTCCATCCCACAGTCCTTCTAGATCAACCAAATTAACTCTCGAGGATAAGACCCTTATCACCACGTATCTGAATATATAGTACAATTATAAAAATAATAAAAGTGGGAAAGCCATAAGCAGAGAAATTCCAGAACTAAAGCAATCGGAATGTGTATGGGTCGAACTAAACTGATTTTTTTGAAAAACTGAACCGAATTGGTTTAAATGATTTGGTTTGGAAAAGGTTCGGTTCGGTTCAAAACTGGTTCGGTTCGAAAGTAGTTCAGTTCGGTAAGAAACGGTTCGGTTTGGAACCGGTTTGGAAACGGTTCGGGTCGACCTCTTTTGAAAAGAAAAAAATTAAAATTTAAAAATAAAGTTATAAAAATCAATTTGGTTCGGTTCAAAAACGGTTCGGTTCGGTTCAAAAACGGTTCGATTCAAAATGGTTTGGTTCTTAAACTGGTTCTAAAAATCGGTTCGGTTCATGAACCAGTTCTTTAAAAACCGATTCGGTTCATGAACTGATTTTTAAAAATCGATTATTTTAAAGGACGGGACGGTTCGATTCGATTCATGGTTGAATTCAATTTTTTTATTATTTTACATAAACAACTCTCATTTATATAATGAGGAGCGTCTACAATGCACACAAAGGTAAAATAAGTTGGGAGCATGCGTGCACCTTGCAAATGACTTCTAATAAAATGTTAACGTATGTTCTCATTTATTTATATCTGAACCCTTATATTTTTGCTGTGTTAATTGTAATTACTTTCCTTTGGGATCGAAGTTGATGGACGGTCATAATTTTTGTACCGAGGAGTGGTTACGTGGTGCATCGATGGCCAAAAACCAATAGAGTCGAAACATGTCCTCCGCTAGAGACAGTCAAATTCATGGTTTAGGATGAAGATCTATGTGACGTTTACTTTTATACTAAACCTATTCGCAAAGAATGGGGCACATGTGTTTGGCTTTTGGGGACCTATTTCACATATTACCTTTAAACGTTGAATTCTAAGTTTCGGTAACTTTTCTTCCGTCACTTGCTTGCTTGTTTGAAGAGTTTGAAATAAAAATTACAAAAAAAGTTCAAAGCTAGTGTCATAGTCTCGTAGATACTTGTATTAAAAAGCGAGATCAATTTTACCCCCAAAAAAAAAAGCGAGATCAATTTCCACAGGTATCGAAAAAAAAGAAAGAAAGATGAAATCCACTACACCATAACAAGACTAATGACCAAACACACGGGCATTCATTTTAACCGAACACGAGGTCGCGCACATATAAACATCAGTTTATAATACGAAAGTTTTACCATTTAATTTGTTTTTGGACTTATGCATTATCGATCACGTCAAAGATTTTTGTATAAATTCAAATATAATTTAATAACTCTGCACATTTGCTTAGCAAATTATTCATATTGAACTATTTTTAAATATGTTTCTATATTAGTATTTTCTCGATTTAAGATAAATTAAGGTATTTTATTAGTCTATTCTCCGGTTGTGAGACATAAAAAGTCACGTCCTTTTATTTTTTTAATGGGATTTATATTTGTCATTTAATATGACACAACAAATTTTCTTACACACACAACATTTTGTGGGGTCCACATTTTTTGAAGAAAAAAAAATTACGGCACGCAAAACGAATTTCTATAACATTACACAATCATTTTTTCTACAACATAACTCTTATAAAAACCTTTTTTAATATATTTGTAAGAAAAATATGATGGCCCACATGTGTGTGTCTGTTGCATGAGGAGAAAG